TTTTTTTAGCTCATTAAAGAGTTGGTGCTTAAACCCTTTTAATTCCAATCACACTCTTTTCCTAAACCTAATAAGTAATTGTTCCAAATCAGCAAGTGAAAGTAAAAAGCCAGTAAAAAGAAACAGAATCAGGGAGTAACAGATGTGAAACAACTGCAAAACTGAAGTCGCCATACCTCAACGTTACACAGTTAAATCCCTTAAACCTTCAACTCCAGACATGTTTTTAAAACAAGATCATTTCTTAGGCGCCAGTATAGCCACATTTGGTGGTTGATGGTTTCGTTGCAATAATAAGTCCAATATTTCTAAGAGAATCTGTGTAGACTGCTATTTTTTAAGGAAAAAACGCCATCAGCTCACCATCTGCTACATAAGCATGATATAACCTCTTTTTTGGCCACAGACACAATTTCACTGGTTCAGCTGTGTTTCTGGGTAAAATAAATGAAACTCACTGGCCACGTTATGTATCAGCTGCTTGTTAATACAAATATCTAATCAGTGACACACATACCACAAGAATATTTCATGATTATTGGCTCCAGATGGGCTGGTTTGAACTTTTGAGAAACCGCTGGTCATTTGGGATTTTCCCGCACGACAATCTCAAAGATGAGGTGTGAGCAGCAGATCTCTGGGTGAAAAGGTGAGCTGAGTAATTCAAATAACCACTCGCTAAAACCCAGGTATGCAGCAGAGCATATCTGACACACAACCTTGAAACAGCAGCAGAAGGCCACACTGGATGCCACTGCTGTCAGCTACAAACAGGAAATGGACACTTTGTACCAACTAAGCCTAATTTCAACACCACCATCTATCGGAGGATGATTGCTGACCATGTCCACTTCTTTAGGACCACACTATACCCATCTTCTGACTGCTGCTTCCAGCACAATAATGCACAAGGTCACAAAGCTCAAATCATCTTGAACATGACAATGACTTCACTGCACTCAAATGGCTATCCATCAATCTCTATGCCAGCTACCACAGGACGAGAGGCGGTGTACACCCTGCACAGGTCGCCAGCCTGTGGCAGGCCAGCATCTCAGGCCTTTCTCATTAAATAGGGTTGTTATTGAAACTTAGATGAAACAAAACAAAACAAACCCATCTAATATCTCTCAGGACTGTCATTCACTCTAAATTTAAAATAGTTTCAATTGTTAAAAAACTAATAAAAAAGACTGTGAAGTGCAGAAAAGCAGACAGGAGAATTTCAGATAGTATCACTGCACCTGTCACAGAAATAGATGTCTTTACATAACGTATAAAGCTGGAACATATGCGTTGTAAACCAAAAAAGGTTCAGGCTGTACGAAGCAGAATCTGCTATCACAATGGAGGCAGGATGTGAAACCAGAATCCTGAGCTGAAAATAATCCATTAGTGAAGGCTGTTCTTTCAATTCCTCTGTGAAAAAAACAGCAGCTTTCTGCACACCCCCAGACTCCCAACCCCATGCACCTGGGCATTTATACACACATGCACACTCTGTACAGACACTTACACACACCTTCAGGAACGCTTTGCTTGAATCTGACATCCGTGCATTGATATCCGCCCACCATCCCCTTCTGTCCTTTCTATCCGCATGTGATGGAGACTGTAGTGTGCGCAGTTCTGTTTGCTAGTGTATGGTTATCTAATGTCTCTCTTCATGTTTGTGTGCATTGTGTATTTCTAAGACAG